AGAAGAGGAAGAAGAGAGAGAGAGAGAGAGAGAGAGAATGATGGCAGTGGGTCACTCTTGCATTTATATGATAAATATTTGTACAGAACAGCTTTATAGTTCTGTTAGCAAGGAACAATCCCTAATTTATATTCAACAAAGGAATGAAATGATTGATTTTTTAAGTTTCCAACATTAGTGCCATGAAATCCAGCAATTTTCTTTTCTATGATGGTAAAGAGAGAACTTCAACAATTCCCAGATTCAAACTTGCATTGAATTTCATTATTAGAGTTATATTTTGGATTTGAAGTTTCTAATGTCATAAGAATACAGGCATTTGGAACCAAAACGTGGGCTGTAAATAATAAAGGACACAGGGCATGCAACAAATCTGGAATTCCCTAACGCGCTGAATAGTTTGATAATTTTGTTTGTTTCAGGTTAATCCTAACATGTTTATGTAATCTGTACATAAATTTCAATAGTATTAACCTAATATATGAGGATTTCAACCTGTATTACTGATTTAGTCTGGGATCTTAATACAACATTTTCACCTTCTTACCGCAGTTTTTTTTTTTTTTTTTTTTTTGAAACTTTCAACAAATATATATATATATATAACCTTTTATTTGGTTGGTGTGGTTGCACCAACTATGCTCCAAGGGTTACATAGTTCAATCCCTGTTTCACACTTCAAACAGTTAACTCGGTAAGGGCAGAGGGAATTCGAGTCCGGACTGGCTAGTTAATTGCCAGTCTGTACAAAATGCACGTTTCATTGGAAGGGCATCTCACGCCTTTAACTTTTGTGTAACGGCACTGGATATCGTATTTGTTTTTTTTCCAGCATTTGACATTTAACACTTTACTTTTCGTCTAACTTCAGTTCAAGTGGGAAATTCTGACAATCAATCACTATTAAAATATCCCGCTTATAGTTTTAATAGAACTCCCAAAAGCAAAACTTTTCGTATGAAAAAGGTCAGGATGTACATTCTCAATCATCAGATGGTCGTGAAACGTGGCCTATAGGTCAAGTGGCCTCCGTCACTTTAAAGATTCACCATTTTCTCAAGCAATGATTCAATCTGATGCATGATAATTGTTCAAAAAAAAAAAAAAATCATCAGATGGTTGAGACTTGGTGTAGACCCCAACTCGGTCCCAACTCCCAATAAGTCCCATCATCATGTTGTTTTGTCTATCCTCGCATAAATCCAGTTTAAGGTGATTCACTCCACATTTTGACAGAATTTTCCCACAAATATTACCTTATCCAGTAGATATCCTGCTCACAGACACTTTAACAAGACTAATCAGGAGCTCAAAATTAAAAAGAAAACACAAAAGAGCAGGTCCAACCCTCCAAAAACTTAAGTGTTTATTTGGATATTATACATTTTCTTTTGCTCTTTCTTTAACAACTAGACAAGTCCTACTGTTGTGACCTTTATCATGGCACACACCACAAGTCCTAGGCCTTTTTTGAGCTTCAGCTTGCAAGACTTCTTCAACCAATGGAATCCTCGTAGATTCCTTTGGTCTTCCTTCGCTGTTAGCCTTTTCTGGATCCCAAATTGTTAAATTAGTTGAGGGTACACCCTCCGAGATGACTTGAGTGCTAGAAACTTGCTCATGCTGCTCCACAGAAGGCCCATCTCGAGTCGTCTCAATGATACCAAGTTTCTTCATTAAGTCCTCCAGTATTACAATAGTAGTATTGTAAAGAACACGATCCTTGATTGCTCTCTCACACACCTCATCCAAGGCTTTTCGAAGATTCCATGCCTCTAGGGGGGTAACCCTGTCGTTCTCTTTTGACGAGGCATTTAAAACCCCTGCAGTTTTCAACGGACTGCATCTTGCTTGGCTATATTCATCCGTGAACTCCCTAGCAGATGGTCGGAGATGCTGCTTGTTATTATGAGACGCCAATTTCCTTGATCTCTTTGGACAAGAAACCATCTCATGATTATGCTCGTCAAAGAATTGCTTGATGATCCATGCTCCATCCTTCAAATGAATAGCCATCCGAGCCTGACAACCTTCCTCATTTTCATGGATACGTTTCTTGGCCCTTCCATTCTCAGGCTTTCTTTTGTAAGCCGCCCTGTAACAAACCAAATATCTTCTAGTAATAGGTTGATCTGGCCTCGATCTCTTGGCTGATTCCTTTCGAATGCTGAATCCCATTCTCATAGCATATTCCTTATAAAACCTAACAGCATCATCATCCGTAGGAAATTGCATTCCAACAAAAGGTCTCCCTCCACTGCCATGACTAACATCATTAGCCGGTACAATATCTTCTTGATTGTCAATCTCATCTATAATTTTTCTTGATTCAAGATCCTCAGACATAGGAGGATGAACTGAAGAAAAAGCAATCAAAGGCATAATGAGCAAATTATATTATCTAAAATCCCAGTTCTCTCAAACATTTTGTCAAACATTAGAAAGGCACAAATCATAACAAGTTTTGATTTTTCGACAATAAAAACAGATAATCATAAAAATTGCTCAAAGGGTTCGATTCGAATAGTTCAGGCGAATTCGAACAAATTAAAGAAAGCAAAAGGCTTTAACTAAAACTTCAACGCTGCATCCAAACTTCTGAAGCAGAATAGAGAAGAAAAAAGAAAAAAGAAAAAAGAAAAAAACAAACCTTGTATTGGATTGGGAGAAAACAAGGAGTCGAGCGTGCTGGTGGAAGGAGGGAAAAGCAGCGACCCCATGTCCGATTGGGAATGAGGCGCAATCGGAAACAAGTTTGGGGCTTGGAGGCGACCGGAATAGAAGATGAATGCTCTGACCGTGGGGGGTGAGCTGTCTCTCAATGAAACGCTGCGTTTAGTTTTTTACCGTAAATTTTACCGTGTCCGTTTAACTTCGATTACTTTGTTTTATTTGTTTATTTATATTTTTCAGATATTATTTTTTTTAATTTGGGTTGCACAATAAAGAAAGTAATTATCTCTCATCTCTTATCTTTTATCTCACCCTATCCGTATGTAATGCAACTTGAATTCAAAATCTCTTACTTTCAGCAAAAAAAAAAATAACCAATAACTTATTTAACTCGTTGGCTTTTCAAATATTAATTTTAGATAAAAGTTTAATAAAGTATATTAATAATAGGATGGTGATATATGTTGATTCAATGTACTTTAAGAGGGAGTTGAATTGAAGTTTCAAAAATTCTTTCTTTTTTGCAATCACAACACCAAAATTAAAAAGAGTAGAGAAGAAGAGCTTGCTCAATAATTTTATAGAGGTTCGATCCAACTACTTAGAACCTAACCCTCTACCTTGACTTCACTCATCAATGATTTTCTCTACACTCTCCACTAACAAAATCAAGGGTGGCTTAAAGAAGCCACTCAATCCTTTTACAAAAAGAATAGTGTTTCTCTCAAATCTCACCCCTTTACAATATAAACCCAAGAATCCTCTCTATAGATCACTCTTGAAGGATTAATCACACCCCAAGATCACTCACAAATAGAACAAGAAAAGAATTATAAGTAAAGATCTCTTAAAGATAAAAAACTCAAGTTAAAGCACATGTAGGTAGGTAAAGATATTCAATGCAATACTCTTTAAACTTACTTCAGATCTTCTACCAACTATATTTATAACCCCATGGTCGAAAATAGCTGTTACTAGCCGTTGGGGGTCATTTAATACTCTGCAGGACGTATGGTTCGAGTTGCAAAACTATCAGTATAGTCGGCTTAAACTTCTAGAGCCGGTTCTGTACAGCGAGCTTACAATTTCTACAGTCGACTTTGCAGCATCCTGCACATTCTGTTTTCTTCGTAGAGCCGGCTACAAAATGCAAAGACAACGTTGCAGGTTTGTTGCACATTTTGTTTTCTTGGACAATCGGTTGCAAAAACATAAAACCGGCTTTGGTGTTCTGACTTTAAAACATTAATTAATCTTCAAATAAGTCGACCGTTATGCATTAAATGTGCCCTTACAGCCGGCTGCAAAGTTAGAGCCAACTCTGCGTCTTTTCTCTACGTGCACCAAACAACGGACCTTTAAATCTTTACCCGTAAAGCCGGCTGCAGCTTCCAGAACTAGCTCTCTGCACTTCCATTTCACCGACTCTCTGCACATATTCAAGCCTTTCTGATCCATTTTTAAGTGTCCAAGTTTACTTATTTTGCAATCTTTTGACATTTTAACTAGATACTTAAATGAAC